AAAGTCAAAACTGAATAGATGATAGAATCGTCATCAAATATTTGTTAAATTTGTCTTTAACAAAGATAGAAACTTATGATAGATGAGAATCGTCATCGAACATTTGTGGAATTCTTTCTTTACCAAAGTTAAATACTGAAAAGATGATAGATTGGTCATCAAATATTTGATAAGATGCATCTTCCTCACATATAGAAACTGAATAGAAGATGGAAACGTCATGAAATATTTGTGAAATCTGTCTTTATCAAAGATAGAAACTGAATAGATGATAGATTCGTCATCAAATATTTGTGAAATGTATCTTTATCAACAATAGAAACTGAATAGATGATGGAAACGTCATGAAATATTTGTGAAATCTGTCTTTATCAAAGATAGAAACTGAATAGATGATAGATTCGTCATCAAATATCTGGAAAAGCATCTTTAAAAAGAGATAGATACAGATTGAATGATAGAATCGACATCACATATCTGTGAAAGACAGAAACTGTATAGATGATAGAATCGTCATCAAATATTTGTTAAATTTGTCTTTAACAAAGATAGAAACTTAATAGATGATAGAATCGTCATCGAACATTTGTGGAATTCTTTCTTTACCAAAGTTAAAAACTGAAAAGATGATAGATTGGTCATCAAATATTTGATAAGATGCATCTTCCTCACATATAGAAACTGAATAGATGATGGAAACGTCATGAAATATTTGTGAAATCTGTCTTTATCAAAGATAGAAACTGAATAGATGATAGATTCGTCATCAAATATCTGAAAAAAAAACATCGATAAAACAGATAGGAACAGAATGAAAGAGAGAATCGATCTTTATCAAAGATAGAAACTGAATCATCAAATATTTGATATCTGAATAGATGATAGAATCGTCATCAAATATTTGTAAATGATATCTTTATCAAATATCTGGAAACTGAATTAATCAGATGAATAGATAACAGAACGTCATCAAATATCTGTGAAATCTATCTTTATCAAAATAAAAACTGAATATATGATAGAATCGTCATCAAATATTTGTGAAATGTATCTTTATCAACTATCTTTAACTGAATAGATGATGGAAACGTATTTGTGAAATCTGTCTTTATCAACTATAGAAACTGAATAGATGATGGAAACGTCATCAAATATTGTGAAATGTGTCTTTATCAAAGATAGAAACTGAATAGATCACAGAATCGTCATCAAATATCTGGAAAAGCATCTTTAAAAAGAGATAGGTATTGAATGATAGAATCGAATCATATCTGTGAAATCATCAAAGTCAGAAACTGAAGATGATGAAAATAAAGTCTGAATAGATGATAAAATCGTCATCAAAGGCATCTTTAAAAAGAGATAGGAACAGATTGAATGATGGAATCGAAATTACATATCTGTGGAATATGTCTTGATCAAAGATAGCAACTGAATAGATGATAGATTCGTCATCGAAAATTTGATTGATGATAGAGTTGTCATCAAATATCTGAGAAAATTCATCTTTCTAACTTACAGAAACTGAATAGATAACAGAACCGTCATCAAATATCTGTGAAATCTGTCTTTATCAACAATAAAAACTCAATATATGGAAGATTCGGCATCAAATATTTGTGAAATGTATCTTTATCAACTATAGAAACTGAATTGATGATGGAACGGCATGAAATATCCGTGAAATCTGTCTTTATCAACAATAAAAACTCAATACATGATAGAATCGGCATCAAATATTTGTGAAATGTATCTTTATCAACTATAGAAACTGAATTGATGATGGAATCGTCATCAAATACCTGCTTAAATGTGTCTTTATCAAAGATAGAAACTGAATAGATCACAGAATCGTCATCAAATATCTGGAAAAGCATCTTTAAAAAGAGATAGGTACAGATTGAATGATAGAATCGACATCACATATCTGTGAAATATGTCTTAATCAAAGTCAGAAACTGAATAGATGATAAAATCGTCATCAAATATTTATTAAATTTGTCTTTAACAAAGATAAAAACTTAATAAATGATAGAATCGTCATCGAAAATTTGATAGATGATAGAGTTGTCATCAAATATCTGAGAAAATTCATCTTTCTAACTTACAGAAAAAATGAATAGATAACAGAACCGTCATCAAATATATGTGAAATCTATCTTGATCAACAATAAAAACTCAATATATGATAGAATCGTCATCAAATATTTGTGAAATGTATCTTTATCAACTATAGAAACTGAATAGATAACAGAACCGTCATCAAATATCTGTGAAATATATCTGTATCAACAATAAAAACTCAATATATGATAGAATCGTCATCAAATATTTGTGAAATATATCTTTATCAACAATAAAAATTCAATATATGATAGATTCGGCATCAAATATTTGTGAAATGTAACTTTATCAACTATAGAAACTGAATAGATAACAGAACCGTCATCAAATATCTGTGAAATCTATCTTTATCAACAATAAAAACTCAATACATGATAGAATCGACAACAAATATTTGTGAAATGTATCTTTATCAACTATAGAAACTGAATTGATGATGGAATCGTCATCAAATACCTGATGAAATGTGTCTTTATCAAAGATAGAAACTGAATAGATCACAGAATCGTCATCAAATATCTGGAAAAGCATCTTTAAAAAGAGATAGGTACAGATTGAATGATAGAATCGACATCACATATCTGTGAAAGACAGAAACTGTATAGATGATAGAATCGTCATCAAATATTTGTTAAATTTGTCTTTAACATAGATAGAAAATTAATAGATGATAGAATCGTCATCGAACATTTGTGGAATTCTTTCTTTACCAAAGTTAAAAACTGAAAAGATGATAGATACGTCATCAAATATTTGATAAGATGCATCTTCCTCACATATAGAAACTGAATAGATGATGGAAACGTCATGAAATATTTGTGAAATCTATCTTTATCAATAATAAAAACTCAATATATGATAGAATCGGCATCAAATATTTGTGAAATGTATCTTTATCAACCATAGAAACTGAATAGATGATGGAAACGTCATGAAATATCCGTGAAATCTGTCTTTATCAACAATAAAAACTCAATATATGGAAGATTCGGCATCAATTATTTGTGAAATGTATCTTTATCAACTATAGAAGCTGAATAGATGATGGAAACGTCATGAAATATTCCTGAAATCTGTCTTTATCAACAATAAAAACTCAATATATGATTGATTCGTCATCAAATATTTGTGAAATGTGTCTTTATCAAAGATAGAAACTGAATAGATCACAGAATCGTCATCAAATATCTGGAAAAGCATCTTTAAAAAGAGATAGGTACAGATTGAATGATAGAATCGACATCACATATCTGTGAAAGACAGAAACTGTATAGATGATAGAATCGTCATCAGATATTTGTTAAATTTGTCTTTAACATAGATAGAAACTAAATGGATGATAGAATCGTCATCGAACATTTGTGGAATTCTTTCTTTACTAACGTTAGATACTGAATAGATGATAGATTCGTCATCAAATATCTGATAAGATTCATCTTCCTCACATATAGAAACTGAATACGAAATCACATATCTGTGAAATCTGTCTTTATCAAAGAGAGAAACTGAATAGATGATGGAAACGTCATGGAATATTTGTGAAATCTGACTTGATCAAAGAGAGAAACTGAATAAATGATAGAATCGCCATCGATCTTTTGTGGAATCTATCTTCATCAAAGAGAGAAACTGAATAGATCACAGGATCGTCATCAAATATCTGGAAAAGCATCTTTAAAAAGAGATAGGTACAGATTGAATGATAGAATCGACATCACATATCTGTGAAATCTGTCTTTATCAAAGACAGAAACTGAATAGATGATGGAATCGTCATCGAATATTTGTGAAATGTATCTTTATCAAAGATGGAAACTGAATAGATCACAGAATCGTCAGTAATCAGATATCCGTGAAATGTATGTACACCAAAGTTAGAAACTGAATAGATGATAGATTCGTCATCAAATATCTGATAAGATGCATCTTTCTGACATATAGAAACTGAATAGATGAAACAATGGCTATCAAATATCTGGAAAAGCATCTTTATTACTGATAGAAACTGAATAGATGATAAAATCGTCATCAGATATCTGTGAAATGTATCTACACCAAAGTTAGAAACTGAATAGATGATAGATTCGTCATCGAAAATTTGATAGATGATAGAGTTGTCATCAAATATTTGAGAAAATTCATCTTTCTAACTTACAGAAACTAAATAGATAACAGAACCGTCATCAAATATCTGTGAAATATATCTTTATCAACAATAAAAACTCAATATATGATAGATTCGTCATCAAATATTTGTGAAATGTATCTTTATCAACTATAGAAACTGAATTGATGATGGAAACGGCATGAAATATCCGTGAAATATGTCTTTATCAATAATAAAAACTCAACATAAGATAGAATCGGCATCAAATATTTGTGAAATGTATCTTTATCAACTATAGAAACTGAATAGATGATGGAAACGTCATGAAATATCCGTAAAATCTGTCTTTATCAACAATAAAAACTCAATATATGATAGATTCGTCATCAAATATTTGTGAAATGTATCTTTATCAACTATAGAAACTGAATTGATGATGGAATCGTCATCAAATACCTGATGAAATGTGTCTTTATCAAAGATAGAAACTGAATAGATCACAGAAGCAGCATATATAGATGTATGGGGTCATGTATAGGGTCATATTTTGGGGGTCATTCCAGATATGGGGTCATCCAGATATGGGGTCATATTTATGGGGTCATCCAGATATGGGGTCATTCCAGATATGGGGTCATCCATTTATAGGGTCTTTCATGTATAGAGTCGGGAGATATAAGAGTGGGTATATAAGCCGGACTTTCACAGTCAGTCTACATCTGAACACTACAAACCATGACAGCTAGAGAGCTACGTTCAGAAAGTATATATGGAAACACAGTGCGATAGTCAATGTGTTACCTTGGTCATCTACGAAGTTGAAGAAACACAGCCCCCAGTGTTTGACGAAGATGAAGAAACGCAAGCACCAGAGCATTTTGTTAGAGAGAAACCCGAAACGACAAAACATTTCGATAGCAAGAAATCCGAAGAAAAAACACCAGACATTGTATCAACGTTCGAAACAGAGAAATCAGATCTTGGCACGAAACAGCAAAATGGTGATTATTGTAAACTGGACATAGGCAACGACTGCTTCGTAGTTGCCAACAAATTCTGTGGAAAAACACTTATTCACATAAGAATGTACGACACCAGTGAAAGAGGAAAATTATATCCGACAAAAAAAGGAATCGCTCTCGATCCTAATCACTGGATTAAGCTGTCATCTTGGTACTACAAAGACGTGGACGAGGCAATAAAGAAATATAATGGTGGTGAGCACGTAGACGAAATGATTCACTTGGGACGTAACAATTACGTGTCACTGAAGACCGGTTACGCCAGAGTGAACATTCGCCGGTGGTTTATGCCAGACCTCGACAAAAGCGAACTGAAAGCCACGCGTGCTGGCGTCGCTTTAACCTTTGAACAATGGGAACGCTTGAAACTCACCATGTTGGTAATGCCAGATTTCATTGGAGACATTCTCGATAACACAGAACTTTGTGTGATGAGGGGTGACCATCAAAACCAGGAAGGAATGATGCAGTGTTTTGACTGCAATCCGAATCAGATTCTGCATTAATAGACTGAGTGATTATGAACAATGTATATGTATTTGTGTAACACCTCATGAATGTACCCCTCCTTGTGTTTATTGAGGTGATAATCATAAAAAAGGAGGAAATAAATATTTAAACTGAATTTCTTGCGTTTCTTATATTTTCATAATATTGATAAAAAGAATAGAAGACATGAAAGCTTAGCGTTGAAAGGGCTTCGGATAATAGTCTGACGTCAGTAACAGCCACCGCTTCGGTTGGTAGAATGCAGACTAAGTGACAGTCAATCATACGTACACCGTCCAGCAAACACCATAAAGTGGGGGTGTTATTTTTATTTTCTTTCAATTCGTCCCCCTTTTTTTAAGTTCATTTATAACAAAATATACTCCAATGTCAAGCACAAAATATACATATTTAATAACATTATTTTTATATACACACAAAATCCTACTATCTTTATGTTATACAAAAGACCAGCAACAACCGTTCTCAAGTACAAATGTTGAGTATTAACACAAGTTACAACAATGATAACATGTATGGCCTGAGTATCGAGCTTAACAAGTTACTCCTTCCACGGCCACACCAGGACTGACTCTATTTGCTGTGATCTTACAGTTTATCCTAAAGCAATTATAATCTAATTCTGATAGGGAAAGTGCCTTCTACTGATCTACAATTAAACCGTGACCAGTTAATGTCTCAATGGTGGAGAGCATGTCCAGCCAATGTTTCACGGCATGATTCTGACACTAAGGTGACCGCAATTAAACTATCTGTCTGATAAGCCAGCCGGTCACATTAGGATTTAACACAAATTATGTTCTTCACTTGAGTAACAAATTTCATCATTAACAGTGTATATATATCCATTATATTCCGTGAAGTTCAATCCTGGAGGACACATGTTTATAATATTCCAAATTTGAGAATGTGTATATATCCATTATATTCCGTGAAGTTCAATCCTTTATAATATCAGCTGAATATCCATTATATTCCGCGAGTTCAATCCTGGAGGACACATGTTTATAATATTCCAAATTTGAGAATGTGTATATATCCATTATATTCCGTGAAGTTCAATCCTTTATAATATCAGCTGAATATTCCAAATTTGAGAATGTGTATATATCCATTATATCCCGCGAGTTCAATCCTGGAGGACACATGTTTATAATATTCCAAATTTGAGAATGTGTATATATCCATTATATTCCGTGAAGTTCAATCCTTTATAATATCAGCTGAATATTCCAAATTTGAGAATGTGTATATATCCATTATATTCCACGAGTTCAATCCTGTAGGACACATGTTTATAATATTCCGAATATGGAATAATACAACTGCAGCACGAATAAATAATATATGTAAAATTCTCAACGGTCTGTTACCGCAAAGGAGAAATTACTGCCGCTATCATATACAACAGGTAACGAATAACCGTGTTAAAATAATAATAAAAATAATAATTTCTTAAATGGCTTCCACGTTTCTCCATTCTGCAGAAGTAGGAGAGGGGGGCAGTGTAACTTTAAGAAAAAAAGGGATGTTTGTGTCTTATCAAAGGTGTACACAATATCTCCATAGTAACTATTGTACACAATAATGTCTTTCTTTTAATAGATTATATCATAATACTTACTTGTAGGATTCTCCTAATGAAGAGGGGGTTCCGCCCCCTCCATTGTAGGAGAGGGTTTCCGACACCACACCTCAGTCTTCGGATATGCTATTAAATATCAAAATAGAGGAATGTAGCGGTTGTACAATAATATATGGCAAGCTAAAGTGGGGGAAAAAGCTCGCTATTCGTGGCATTAATCTTGATTTGAAAAGCTGTACTATACACAACGTATACGTGTGATATAAGGTACTTTAAATGTGCCTAGTAATAAATATCAGTACTGTTTGGTGAATTTTCCTGTCCTCTCTATTCGACAGCGGATATAAAGTTAGAAAGTTTCTTCCACTTTGGTTTGCTAAATAATGACAGATCTATGAGTTCAGTTCTCACTTGATGGATACAGCAAAATAAAACCTTATGAGGGTAAACTTCATATCGAAAAGAGTTCCGAAAAATTTAACTTTTTAACAAAGTAAGCATAAAAGAGTTTTAAAAAATGAAAAACATATACAAATATTGAATACGCATGGTCTGTACAGATGAGTCAGTTCTTTTTGTTTTTAAGTACCATGTACATGTATATAATAATGTTAAATCTATACCGGAAGCGTTGTGGCGCAGTAGGTTTTTGACCTCGGTTGATAGGACAGACGTTTCACGAGTGTTGGTTCGAATCACGGTGGACGCTATTATTTTAAAAAAATATATTCTCTATTAAATGTAATTTGATGTCAATTGATAAAAATTGCTCAATACACACATATATAAATACAAATACTGACACAAAACTAAGATATTCAATTTTATTTCTATCGATAAAATTACCATTCCGGACGACTGAAAATCCGGGAGTATTCGAAAAATCCGGCGCTGAGACATTCTGTTCTCCGGTGCGGACTAAGAAAAAATCAGGCACGCGGCGGCGGCGACGGCGGCGGCCCCTGCCACCAGAATAGGGATGTTGAATAACTAAGTCTGTAAGAAGGGAAGCAACTCCTGTATTCTTGTTGAACTAAATTTTTGCTTTCAACAAATCGGATGAACCCCCCCCCCCCCCCTTGTAAAGGCAAGTGTGGTGACAGGGAAATTGTCTTCAAAGGCAGGGAAACTTCCAAGAAATTCGGTCAGTGGTTGTTTCAAGAGAGACACAGGGATTTCACAGCGATAGCCCACAATATGAAGGGGTACGATGGATATTTTTTACTGTAATATCTTATCGATCAGTCCATCAAGCCGGACCGTCTCATCTACGCAGGATCAAAGATAATGCACATGCACATAGCGAGAGGGCTTAATATCGGAGTCCTTGATTCAGTGAATTTTCTGCCAATGAAACTTTCACAACTACCCGGAGCATTCAGTTTGACGGAATTGAAAAAGGGTTATTTTCCTCACTATTTCAACACTGCAGAAAACCAAACTTATGTTGGTCCTTATCCGCCACCTTCTTATTATGGCTGTGATTCCATGTCCGACAAGGATCGTGAGACATTCATGAAATGGTACGAGGAAAAGACAGAAAGAGGAGAAGTGTTTGAGTTTGAAAAAGAACTAGTTGCATATTGTCGAAGTGATGTTGACATTCTAAAGCAAGCATGTCTCACCTTTCGGCAAATATTGATGGGAATTACGGGGCAACATGGACTGGAATTAAACGACGATGGAGAGATGACTGAAACGCTGGCTGGCGGTCTAGATCCATTTAATGATGTCACAATAGCGAGTGTCTGTACAAGAGTCTTCAGGACAAAATTTCTGAAGGAAACGTGGCAAGTGAAGTTACGGCGAGGTGATCAGATCACTGACTATTTAAAGGCGTATAAGTTGAATGGTGAACTGAAAGTCTTCCACGACGGAGAATGGTTCAGTGGACAACAATTGCAGGAGAAAGACTATGTCATAGAGGAGTCTCATTTCGTCAGTTCTCCAATAGCTCAGGTTCCATCTCATGGTTACACAAGTAGGGATCAGTTTAGTAAAGTATCTATAGAATGGCTCGAATGGATCATGGAGAAGAGACGACGACATGGAAACCAATGTCACATTCGCCACGCACTAAATGGAGGAGAGGTACGTCTCCCGGGAACAAAATACAAACTGGATGGTTACGAATCACCAAGTGAAACCCATCCCGGAGGGGTAGCATATGAATTTATGGGTAAGTACCAATAAAATCAGTTAATTGCAAATATAATTAAAGATTTTTTTTAATTTTGTGAGCATTCAATCACTAAACAACTTTTCTTTGTTATTTTTTTTTGTTATTTCATACGAATTTATGAAAAGGTGAAGGTAAAAAAAAATCAGTTAATTGTCAATGAAATTAAACTTTTTTTCTGTGATTGTGAAAATTCGAATAACGTTTTTTTTTTGTTATTTTTTATTGACATCGATTATGGAAATGAATAAACCAATTAAAATTGTATTTTTCCCTCTATTCACAGATGTCTGTGGCACGGCTGTCCTGAATGCTATCCTGAAGAGAGTCGAAAATAGCCAGAACCCATCAGTCTATGAGTGAACTCTACGAGCTGACAGCGAAAAAGAGAAAATATATACTTTCCCAAGGCATAGAATACGTGGCTATCTGGGAGCACCAATTTAGTGAGCTTCTTAGAAAGAACTCAGAAGCATACAGCTTTGTGGGAACACTTGACGTACAGGAAAGATTCGACCCTCGGAATGCGTTTTTGGAGGACGCACAAATGCCATTAAATTGGCACACTCCGTCAATGAGGGTGAAAAAATCCATTACACGGACTTCACCTCATTATACCCTTTTTTAAACAAGTACACCAAGTATCCCGTTGGTCATCCGTGCATCATTGCACGAGACTTCAAGGACATCGGCGAGTATTTCGGAATAGCGAAGGTGAAGGTTTTACCCCTAAGGAAATTGTTCCATCCTGCTTTGCCTCAGAAAATTGGAGGCAAGCTGACTTTTGCTCTTTGTCACACATGCGCAGAGACACAAAATCAAAAGAGGTGTCATTGTAACGACGACTAAAGAGTAATGATAGGGACATGGTGTACACCGGAACTCGTGAAAGCCGTAGAGCACGGCTACCAAATACTGGAAGTGTACGAAGTGTACCACTGGGACGAAACAGCCCGGTACGATCCAAACACTAGACAAGTAGGTATATTTGAGAACTATATCAACCTATTCTTGAAAATAAAACAGGAATCAAGTGGCAAACCTGTCTGGGTGAAGTCCGAAGAAGACATGGAAAGATACATTAGCGATTATTTTCTTCGTGAAGTCATTCAGTTGGACAGAAATAACGTGAAACAAAACAAGGCCATGGGGTTTCTTGCAAAGCTGCTTTTAAACTCATTCTGGGGGAAATTTGGTCAACGCTTGAACATGCCTCAGACTTCATTCTTTCA